GAAAAGATGCTGTTCCAATTCACTGGGAAAAACTTGTCTTCTCTGTTATCTTCATACTCCCTGGATTGATTTGTTTTATTTAGGTTTCATTTTTTTTTAAATGGCCGTCGCTTGAGTTGCCAAAAAATATTTGATAGCATATTAAAATAGTAATTGAGACCTAAGCATTTAAAATTTCACTATTTCATAGTGTGTCATTCCTTCAATCCATATACAGTCAACGTTTCAACATCGCGATAGCTTAGTTTAGAACTGCACAGACTAACAAAAAGCGAGCATTGTACTCCTTGGTCGTCATTTGTATGTTTCCTTTTATTTCTAGCAATGGGACTACTGGTAAACATTTTGAAATTAAGAGATCCACAAATGGGTGGAGAAATTTCAAATTTGCGCTCATAGATAGGTGTTTGTTATATGAAGAATCTGAAAACAAATTCACAGTAAGCGTGAAATTATCTTACGAATTGAGAAAGCAAAATCAAATTTTTACTGTGAAGACCAAATTTATTTTCTGACTGAACAATAATAAATATTGGAAGATTTTCTGAGAAATAATTAGAGCGTTTCATACAGAACCAGAACTATCCTACATCGTCCAATTTCCTCAATGTAACACTTGGGACGATGACGTGGTTAAATTCAATCGCTCGTACATTAATTTATGTTTTTTAAAGTAGAAATAAGTGTATTTCAAACAGAACCAGAACCATCCTATATAAGCTTAAGCGGGTCATATTTTGTTGCATATGGTCACTTCAGTCCGGCCTTTCTAACTCATAATTCAATTTTTAGTACGATTGTTAGCAACAGTTCGACAGCAATATTTCATTCCTTTTACATTAAAGTAGCTCAAATACTTCATGAATTTGATCTAGCTCCCAGTTCAGTTTCAGATATTTTAACTGATAAAATTCAAGCACTTCTACAATTCTTAACGCATGAAATACAATCCAGGTCTAGCAAGTATTTGCAATCACGAGCAACAAAAAGGAGAATAATATCGGAACTTGCGTTCGCTGCTTATTGTGATAGACCTCATGTTGTATCCGTTGAGCAAGAAGGACGAGTTTTTAATGCTAATTATGGGCAGAATAAGTGATGACCCATGGGTGACACACAGGTGGGGCATAGAAAGTGGAGTAAGGGGGACAGTTCTGCAAGGCAACAACGCGACGGTTCAAGTAAGAAGCGTCAGTAAATTGCATCTCTGAACAAGCTATTCAGGAAGATAGTTAATTAGCTAATCATAATCATATATGAATGAAGATATGTTTGTACGAACGAAAATGAAAGAGAATAATTTGAGTGGTGTGGATAATATGTGTGTCTTATAATATACGAAGCAGAAAGAAGTCGTAATATGAAGTAACAGACCGTAGAGGTAAACTGAAGGGAGTAACGCAATGCAAATATAGGTGGAAATTGTTTTCGTCTCATTATGTGCGATAGTACAGCACAGAAAACAAGACGAGTAGGTTCACGTATTTTTCACCGTTCTAGGCAATACAGAGAGTGTCAGTAACTCCGAAATTCAAAATTTCAAGTAGTTTTGAGCAATCAATGTGGCTGGAATGAAGAAAGTTGCAAACTGAAGCCAATAGAAAAGAGCAAAATTAAATGAGAATAGATATGCAAATGAGCAATGATATAAAACAGGGACCAAAAAATGTCTGCCTGCTTCCACACGACGCTAAAATGTACAAATTCAAATTGATGGTCGTCTTTTTTCCTCTTTTGAGAAACTACGCACAAGAAATGAGAATTGTAGAAGCGAACCTTGAAGTTGGAGGTGAAGGGAGAGCAGAAAAGGGATACTTATAGAAGATACTCCACAATGGAAAGTGAGCACACACTTTCGGCGCCAGGCACCGAACAAATAAAAATATATCGCCCCTAAGCACACACTGCGCCATGTCACCTAGCTTCCACGATGTCAGTTTCACAGCAATTTGTTTTATGAATAATGTGCTATCAGGAAAATTTCATACCGCGATTTATTTGCGGTATCTCTAGATTCCGCTAACAAGCAGCTGTTGTCAGTAAATCTTCAGCTACAAATATTTAAGAAATCCACCAAGTAAGAAAAAGACAAAAGAAGCTCTAGTTAATATCTATTTAAAAACACAACCAGAGTTCAAGGATTGGTTTTCGTCAATTTATCTCACCAATATTTTCTTTCTTTTAAAAGGATTTCACCTAATCCTCTGTCTTTATCAAATTCATATTTGTAAATGCAATTTAAAAGACGAAATACTGTCTAATTCAAAATTATTTCTTTTTACTAAATTCTTTTTTCTTTCAAAATATCGTTTTCCTCTTTAAATCTGTTACAATTCAGAAATTTCTTTATTTTTTTTTATTTTATGAAAAGACTCAGAAGTGTAGTGATTAAAAAGTGAACGTTTTGAATCATGTGACTGAAGTACTGATTGTTCTGCACACTCCTGCATGCAGGAAGCAATGGAATTTAAAATTTTGTTAATCCAGCTTTTCAATGAATTATTTATATGTACTGGAACTGCTGGGACCGGTGGCGTAAGCAAACCAATTAGATGCTGTCAAACAGCATTTGTGCAGGAAAGCCACAAATAATTTAAGTTGTTTTTTTTTTCATCAAAATCAAGCTAAAAAAGAGCTAGTTAGAATGGAGTAAATTCCAAGCAATGCCTTGAATTTTTGGTTGCTTAGTAAACCTTAATCTAATTGCCCTACAGCTATTAGTTGTATCCTATATTAAATCGGTTTATGACATCAAAATTTAAGCGATTCTGTTTATTATTCATCAGTTTGGTATCATGATTTGAATCACTAAATCTTTTTCGAAGAAGTGGTAGCTTCTTGTAGTACCTAGAATATTTTCATATTCTAGTATAATTTGAGTATCCACTCCCGTTAAAATAATATTACCAGGTCGAATTTGAAGTATAAGAAATTAAACACAATCTACTATTTTTTTTTTTAATCGGGCTAGATTATTAGATTATCTTATGTAGCTATATTGTTAAAAAAATTTGGAATTTTAATCTGGCTCATTTTTTCTAAAAGTCGCACTGTGAGTGTACGAAGAAACTGCAGACCAAGACTCTGGAAAAAACTATAGCATTCGTAATTTACAGTTAGTAACATTGCCGATTAAGGCATAGTCATCAGTAACACAACTACAAAAGAACCAGTCTGCATCTTTTTCCTTGAATAGATTTTGAAACTTAGTTCTATGTTAAAAGCAAAATAAAAAAAAAAGTTATTGCATTCCGTGTTTGATAATAAAAAAAGGAAAAAAAAATACAAAGTATTAATTACACAACACTATGAGAGTTACAAATGAACCTAGGAGATACGACAAGCTAGGTAACAAGATTATATTAAGATTATAGTCAATTTTATTGGTTTAACAAATATGATAAGCAATAAAGCAATGATTGTAACAAAATGTTTTTGAATTTAACTCTCAAGTTAAGAAAAAATGCATTTAATTTCTTAAGCGAAAGTACGCTTATAAAATCTTGACGGCATTGATTTATGCTCTGGATCAACAATATTTTTGAAGCTAAAAAATTTCAATAATTCTATTAAGTTTCTGAAAATATGGCTATTTATTGACTAAATTTGCAAACAGAAGAAAACGAGGAAGATGCAACCTTCTTTCACGCGCAAGTCTGACTGTGAATGGTTAGGGATTTCAAGGATAGTACATCTAGGAGGATGAAAACGTTGATAACACGCAGTTAAAAGTGCAACCTTCATTATTATCCGACCACTTTAATTTCTTATGGGAAGGAAATATCTGCGATAGATATTCCATAGGAAAATTAAACAAATAAGTTGAAAAGCTTTCTCTGGCAACCTTGTTGGAATATCTCAAACGTTTGCACCAAATGGTTGTATTCAGTGTTTACTTATAGATATATTAACTCATAAAGTTTTTTATAGTGACACGTAATAATTGAAAACGTCAGTGCAGATTCTATCCTGAAATACTTTCCATGCTTTTAGAAGTCATAAGCTTAAACTACACAGCTATAATTATACACTATCAACATTACATTTAATGATGTGATTAAACAAATCAAATTTGAAGTGTGTGACTTAATATTTTCAGTTTCCTTTTACGATACAGATGTACTTAACACTGATGGCTGTTTAATGACATATTTAAAAGCTGAAATTGTTGGAAACACATCAGTGTTATAGACTAAAATTCAGGTGAAAATCTCATTAACGAAACATCTGTGAAAGAATCTTTAAGAATAAAGTTTCAACATTTTGAAGTAATTGTGGGTCATGGAACGAGTTTTTTGTCTTTATGATGATAGAGAGAAGAATAGTGAGCAAAAGCAGTGGCAGTAGCAGAAGTAGCACGAAATTGGTAGGGTATCTTGATCTGTGCGCGTATCGAATAACAGTCAGTTTCTGGATGCAGCACAGTTGCTGCATTCACGTATGAGAATCGGGAATAGGCGAGAGTGAGTTGGCGATGTCATAATATGAAAGGAAAGTGGGATAGAAACGGAAAGTTATGAGAAACAAAGAAGGATGAAAAGGGATTTTGTTGAGCAACAGCAGTAAGGCATTCTTCGCAAATTCATGAACCACATTACCAAAAATGTTCATAATGTGCTCCTCCTTAATACTCCTGTTCCTTCTCTTCCCCTCAGGTATTATTATCTTTTTTGTTGAAGATTTTAATTTCAGTGATTCAGTTTTAAATCTTTTTTTCCGGATTCATTATTATGAGAATAGAAAGAGTATATTTTACTGGTCATTTGTTTGAAACTTTAAATGCTTGCCGCAATTTACTTATTATTTTGTGTAAAATTTATTCAATAATTAAGAAATGAAGCTTAGTGCAGTAAAATCTTTTAAATCATACGACTTACCAAAATTAACAATTGAATGAATCTAATCTACCATAATTGAACTCATTTGATTTACCATAGCAAATAATTAATTAAGTGCATCTTCATTTGCATGAATTAATAACGGTTGCAGGGAATGGATGTATGGCGGGATACGGATATGAGAGGATGAAATTGAAAGAATATCTTGGAATTGAGTGGATAGAAGACGGTTTTGATGAAACCGGTAATAACAGTGGTGGTTATATCTTTTTAAATTAAGGATCAGGTGCATCAACTTCGTAACGGCTGTTGATGCCGAGTGTTTTTTAGCCGCAACATGAAGACATAGGTTGGAGTAGTAAAAGCTAAAAAATAGATCGGCAACCAAAAACATTCAGATAGGACTGGTTGTTACTTTTTCCTGACACCTTGATGGTATCATAGCAATAATAAAGTAATTCCTATTTCTTTCACATCTATTTCTTTTTTTCCGAGGATCACTAACGCCAAGCCTTTCTTTTAGACCAACATGACAACAAACCGATACGACATGCCAGTGATCTGGACTGCACATTTGATGATATAAAGAAATGTCAATGGCGCAATGTTAGAGAGAAAGAAGCACTCGATTCCCTCGACTTTCATTTATTTGAAAAAATTGATTTTAAGGAATTCCCTGTGTTACAAGTCCGGCCAGGACCAAGTCGACTGGCTCGAGGTTCAGATAAAAAGTTCGAAATTGCATTTAAAATGATTACATCGCTATATTTGAAGAATGCATAAGGAATGCGTTGCTAAAATGCCATTAATCAATTTTTTCCCTAGCGTGCTACATTTGCCATTTCGCCTATTATTTTTAAAATCAAACAAAATCTGATCCAACACCTTACGACAGTAAGATGATGACTAATTAGAAGGGAAAAGTGGTGGAGTAGACTCATGGAATTTCTCATTAAGCTAGAAATATTAACCATGGCTTCGCTGGCAAAAATCAGAGAAAGTTATCAAAACCTGGGTGAAAAATTAAGAAAAATAAACTCTTAATATAGGAGATAATGTTCTAAATTATAGAAATTCCCATTTAGGTGACAAACTTTTGTTTACTGGAGATCGGAAACAAGAGGAACAAACTGCTGTCTTGAAGAGTTCACCAATTCTTTGTCAAAACAGCACAGGAATCCTTACTTTTACGTATGTTTCCCTTTCACATAAAAGAATTTACTCATAACTAATTCAAAAATTCGTGTAAATTTCGAATAATTTTCAATTCATTATCGAAATTTAGTTTTTACCAGATAGATTTTCCTTTCAGGTTCTGGTTGTACAATGGTGCACGAGTGGAAGTGTTGTTATTGAAACAAAAAAAAGATCGGCTTGTTATTTTGCCGGAAAAACCTTTTGTTGACTGTGGTATAGTATTGCTCAATACTGAATGTACAGCTGAAATTCCGCCGCGTGATGAAGAATTCAGGTATAAATAGCTTTGACATTTCATTCAATTTGTTTCACATACTTAACTCAGAATTAAGAAATCAACTATATCTTTCTTGCACTTGTTATTTTGAAAACCACCATATTTCAACATTTTGAACTTTTAACTATTTTTTCAATCGTCAGGATTTGATACTTTTTTCCATATAGCATTGGAATCAAGGCATATAATATAGCAAATCGTGAAGGCTCATTTGTCATGGTCGACAATATCGTCTATCGAGCCTCTTTATGCAGAATTTCAAATATGTTTTTCTTACTAGCTTTTCCCCTTTTTATCTTTAAATTTAAACTCACTTTAAATCTTACCAATATTTTTCAGTAAACGATATTTTTTAAGTTAGAATTTTTGAACACAATGAGATAACTTTATGTTTTTATTATCCATATAATATTCTTTTTCACAGTTTGGAGAATGATAAATATTTGCAACATATGATTTGAATATTTTTCTTTGTAGTTGATCTGGGCGAGAATTTTCGAGGTCGACCATTCATTACATCCAGTAAAGGAAGTCTTGTTAAAGCTGCTCATGATCTAAATTGCAACAATTTTACTTCAAGATGTCGGTGGCGCACGGTCGGTTATGGATTAGAGGTCATCAGTACTATTTAAACTGAATTTCAAGTTTTTTTTTTTTTTGTTATGGGCAACTTTGTTTTTACAGAAAGGAAAACTGATTGATTTAATTTCTACAGATGTGGCAGATAGCCGATGAATCACCGAGCAATGAATTAATGTTTAATGCAACGGGTGCTTTACCAGTACCAGAAGCACCCTTTTTATTCATGTACATTGAACAGAATCGTCACGGTCCTTTTAATGTTTTACAATCCGATCCAATTGATTGCCAAATAGAAAACACATCTAAATTTAGCTTCAGGTTACTCATATTTAGTTTAGAACGGTTTTTTGTAAATAGTATAGCGTATATGAGGCAAAAACAAATCTCGAGGACATAACTGCTTCAACTAGGTAAAATCTTTCATCCTTATCGTTTCATCCATTTATTACTTATTTTAAACTTTTTACTGATGAATGAAGTATGAGAATAGATTCTGGACAACTCGTAATGTGGCTTTGGAAATTTGTGCTCGAGATCGTTCATTAAATGCTGCAGAATGTCATTTGGTACCAATGGCTTTATCACCTGCTCTTGTTAGCATAAAAATCAACAAACTGTCGACATTTTCTGTGATTTTTAAAAAATTTTGTTTAAACGTGAATTAATCTCATTTACGACAATTTAATAAATTGTTATGGCAGTGTTTGTTTTTTCTTTTTTTTTTTTTTATCAGATTTAGTGATTTATTAATAAATTAATGGATTTACCAGATTTTAGAAACTTAACAAATTTCCTCTAATGGACAAAATTATCATCAGAAATGGCAAATTTATGGTAAATTTATATATTTTCAATTTTTAATTAATTTGTCAGATTTCAGTTAAAGCTTTTTTTTAGCTAACAGTTGAAGTGAAAAGTATCAACAGTGATTACGACAACTTTATCGCAATCGATGACATGAACTATGAAGGGACATTTTGTAGTGAAGCAGTAAATGCTTGGGATCTCGGTGGCAATTTTTATCCGACATCCATGCTTAGTGCACTAATGCAAAGACCAATATTTTCAACCAAAGTAAGAAAATATCATATTGACATTGTCTTTTTACATGATCGATCGATCATGTCATTATAAGTGTGTGTGTCAAATACTCGAATTTCAGTTATTTCTAAAACCCACTTTATTTTAAATCTCTTCATAACTTCTTGCACTTCTATCTACATGAACTAAAGACATTTGTAAAAACAAGTCCCGTAAATTAAATAATTAATGTTTGATTTTTGGGATTTGGACTGTTCATTTGAAAGGCGTGCTGTAGACTGTATGTGGGCAAATCATGAACAAGCAGAACCGGCATGGCAGATTGGTACCACGCCACTTAATAAGCACAAATTTATTTCTCTTACTGGTAGTTCTGAATTGCCAGGTAAAGTTTTGTTTATAATAAAATAAATAGCAATTACTACTGAAGAACACGAAAACAAACAAAAATATTTCATTTAGATGGTGAATTTGCTATTGTTCACTTGAAATCTGGTCAAGCATCAACGCTAATCACTGAACCAATCCGATGCATTTCCGGTCAAGCTACACTTACATTTAGGTTTTTGTTAACATCTAATTTTACAAACTAATTAAGTTTGACTTAAGAATTTGAAATATGTCTATATGAACTGACTAATTATGAGTGATACAAGAGGTTGATATCCTTTTGACGAACAAAAGCTAGTTTGCATTTATCGTAAAACGATACAGTTATTTTTGCAATTCATAGCAATTGTCCACTTTTCCCAAAAATTATATAAAAATTAAATTTTGCACAGTGATCGAAATAAATTGGATTGATACTGCAGATACATTAATGAGATCTTGACTGTTATAGAATTCATAGAACTCTAAAACGGAATTCAAGTCTTCTGTCTTCAATTTTTCAATTTGCTGAGCAGAAATTCATTTGCGGTACTTTTCTATAAAAAAAAAATTTTCAGATTCTGGCTTAGTGGTAACACACGTCTGGACGTTTGTTTGCTTGAAGATAAGATTTTGGAAGCGGTTGACTGCCAGCAAATAGTCTTAAAACAACCAGGACCTGCGTTAGTTGATTTACCGGGAATGAATCATCCGGTACGGATTGCTTTGAAAGCGGAATCATCTTCTCAAGGAATGGCACTGATTGATGATCTAGTAGTTATGGTAAGAAATATAACTATTGAAGGGATTTCAAGTTCGAAGTGAGAAAAACACAAGAAATTTTGCTAGCTTACTGGAAACATTTTTTAATCTTTGTATTAAGAGTTTGAATCCAAACAAAAGATTGTTTGTGCAAGAAGAAAAGGACGAAAAGATAATTTAAATGAACATATCTCGAGACTTCTTTATTGGTGTGTTCTATTTTCTAAAGGTATGAAATGAGATTTTCAGCCATTTCAGGGTGACATATGTCCATCAGTAATACGCCACCACGGTGTGCGTTTATTTGGTTCTGGACTAGCCCAAATACCTGATCCAAATGTTTGCCGACTTCTTTCTTGTAACTTCATGGAAGGTAAAGGCATGTCTTGTTTGTTTATTGATTGGACTTATATACTGAAAATGAATGCCTGGAGCAGTTGTCAAAATTTCAAAATTTCAGGTCAAACATGCTTATACAGTTCAGGTCGAGTTGCTTTGTCTCAAAGTAATTTCAAAGCACGAGATGGCGCTGTTACTGCATTTTTATTTAAAAAAGGAAAAGTAGCAGTACTCGAATCACCAACTTTCCGTCTAAATGCTGCTGCGAGGATTCATTTCTTGTATCGCAACGATGTAATTCTCTTTTCATATATGTCTCAAAGTCTACGAAATTTTCCAAAACTTTTTTTGAAAAAATTCGTTACATTTAATTATGATAGGTTAGTTATATTTAATTATTGACTGGTACATCCATGAGTAGTTTTGGCAAGACATTTTTGAACTGTTTGGTTGGTCACAAAATAAAATCTGAGCAAATTTATGCAACAACGATTGAGAATGAGTTGGATATTTATCGAGATTCCCGCAAAAACTGCTTCCAGGCGAATACATCTGTGGTTTTTGTATGTCATGATAGCATTAGCCGAGAGTTGGATAGCTGTTTCAAAGTTGGAGGAGACAGTGCAGGACATGGTTGGCATCATGATTTCATGGAAGTACTACCTAGTGATACAAAGTTTTATATGGTTGCAAAGCTAGCTGATAATTCTAGAAGTGCCCGTGTTTCCATTACAAACATTACTGTTACCGATGTTGACAATAATATTGCTTGTTCACTGTAGAGCTAACGGTCTTCCTGAACTTGTTTAATAAATATTTCGGTTTCATTGAGAGCAGTTCAAATTCCCCAAAATTTTTCTTACTTGTTTTGAATTTTGTTTCTTTGTTTTGGATTTTGTTTTTCTTTGAAATTTTTATAAAAACGGAAAAAAATTATTAATCAAAGTGTAATAAAAAACATTTGGTATTAAAATTTCTTTTTTTGCTCATTTGAGTTGCTATCGTAGTCACATTGGACATTTATCCATTATTACTCTTCAGTCATTTGTATATTCATAAAGGTATACTAGACACAGTAATTGTCTCGGAATAATATCACTTTCTCCCTTTCCATAGTTGATCACTGATGGTCAACAATGTTTGCTGAATCAGTCCAATTTTCTTTTTATTTCATGAAATATTTTTGTTCCTAGGTATCAAGGAACATATATGCTGGGTTAATGAACTCCTTTTAAATTTCTCACTGTCATTTCTTTATTTGTATCGAAGTTATGTTCCTCCATTTTTGGATTCAAAACTACCCGTAGTCTTACTGTAGCTGATCATTTCTTCCTACGGTGTTTTCTAAATTTTTAACTGAAGACAGTTGCTTAACTGGTAAGAAGTACCATTATCTATTTTTAGGTGGCTACATCCATATGCAATTAAACCTGCAAGAAGTTTGCTTCCTTACTGAAAAATCATGCTAGAAAAAATTAGAAAATCATTTAACCAGCAGAAGCGAAAGAAAGTAGAAAACCGACATCTCAGAAGAATTAACAATAATTGGTCCTTAATTATTTTGCATCTCACCGATACTATAACAAAATTTCTGTGTTTATAGAATACATTTACTTGGAAACCACTTGATATTAATAACGGTACGAAGAAGTTTCAAATCCAAGTTTTGTCTTTAATTTTGTTCTTTCACAATTTTCATATCATATTTCGTAAAGAATAAAAGCTAATTTCATGGAAATGAATGCATCGCAATCAATGATGAAATTATTACCTGTATGCAAATAAAGGAAAGGCAGAATTCCATGAAAACAATAGTACTTCTTGTTGAGAAACTCAAAATAAGTTTTGCGAACCTCCAAATAATTTACAAAAAATTGTATTAATCCATAGCATTAAAATTTGTCTTAATTCAACATTCTTTAAAGAAATACAAAACTATTTCAAATTGTAGTCCATGTAAGCAATCATTATGCCAAGACTCATCTTTCCATTATAGCCGAGCTTATGTGCTTATCTAGAAAATTTCAACAGTCAACAAAGGGTATGTGCATTGTTTAATATGTTAAAAACTACTCCTTTGTTCTAATTCAAATTTACTTACGACGTTGAAATACTGTAAAGCTTTTCCATGCTAATAGTGATTCCTGGAGGAATTGACAAGGTTAAAATCCATCTCTTACTACATGAAGAGAAAAGATCATCTGATAGCTAGCTCTTAACTCAATGTAACCATGAGTTTGTTGCAAGTCAGTGCTAACTGCACATGGAATTAACTTGTCTAGATCAGTTTTTTTGTACCAGCACGTTATAGTTCGACTGCTCTCCCGCGCTCATTTAATTCAGTTCATTTAAATCCCTTAAGTTCCCCATCAATTCATTCATTTTCTTCAGTTCATACTCACAGGCAAATACTACGAACTTACAAGTATATTCTCCGTATAGATTTGTATCGTGGTTACTAGCGAATAAAATCCTTACAATAGACCATTCAACGAATTGTTTATGCTAACCACAATAACAAACAAGGAAAGCTTTTGAGCGCATGAAAGTCCAATTCAACTCTGAATTGCAAGAGTCAGATGCTCAAGTTTTACAACACTTTTGGCTTTAACACTTATCGCCTGGAAGTATTCATTAAAATTATATCCAAGAAGGTTCAAATATCACTTAGAATTCTTCTTTCAGTTAAATTAAATACAGATGGATTCAAGATCAAAAATCGAAAAACATTAAATTAAAGAAAGTTTTAAACTAAGGTCGCAAGTTCACATAAATGGAACTACCATAATGCGACTACTGGTATGAAAATCGAATCGATTCATTAATTTTTTCTGAGAATCACCTCTTTTTTTCTAACTGGTGGAAATTGGGGAAGACTAAATCTGCGTAACTGCATTACATGGCACAAATGTAAATCACTACAATTCCCGAAAAAACATTGATCCAGAAATTATTTTGCATTTTTATTATAATTACTCCTAAAAGACACATGAATAGGTCTGAAATTGTAATAAGTTCACATTATTCACCAACTTAAGAAAGACAAAAGCAAACGATTAATCGTGTGTTACTATTATTAATTTTTTTTGGATTATTTTTTTATTTTTTTTTGAAATTGGAAAAGAAAGTAATTTTTTTTTTATATGATGATGAATTTAATAAACAAGGTGGTACAAACCATCCGTCAATGGCCTACAGGGGCGTAAGTTGTAGTATGGTAGAGGCAAGGAAACTTGTCTCTATTTTTAAAGTATTAGTTTATATTAGAATAAAGAATTGTAAATTCTTTGGATTTTACTTTGTTTATCTTTTACTATGTTGGTATTTTTCTTATAATGATTTTTATTCTACAGGCTGTTGCTTTTTTAACTTTAATAGAGCGTCATTTTTTAGGTGGCACTCAATGTCGTATTGGTCCTAATAAGGTTGGATATTCCGGTGTTTTTCAAGCATTATTTGACGGTCTTAAGTTGCTAAAGAAAGAACAACTTTTTTTTTATTTTTCTTCTTGGTTATCTTTCTTACTAATGCCTGTTTGTGGTTTTATTTTAATGACAACTCCCAGCACGGAGTATTTCTATTCTACCATTATTACAAAGATGTAAAGCTCTGGTCACTGTTCTATCTGACACCACATCAAGCAACTAGTTCCAGAACTTACAGTTTTAAAATCTCCATGCAAGATTTGAAACTGTCAAACGGACAAGATATATATCGCTGTCATGTTTTGCTTAATTTATGATAGTGACACTAAATTAGTCCACTTTTCAAGAAACAATGAGAAGCGCCAGCGAAACGCTAATTCCTCACTCACCTTATTTGTAAAGAGACAAATAGCATAGTTCATGAAACTCTGCTTTGTTTTCACTGTAGTTGTTGGATTTTCGATTTGAAAAGATTTCTCTGTCTCCTTCATCTAAAGAACCAGTTAGTAAAAGTCATTGTGTAAATGGAATAAGAATCTTTATTCCTCGTATTCAAAAATGAACTCATTCAAGTATTAAATTTCACTTGAAAAGTAAAGTAATGAAATCAAATATCACCTTAATTTTCCAGAATAAAATAACATACTGAAGATGCTTAAGATACTTCAATCAAATCCGAACTCTACTGGGAATTCAGTAATTTCTAGTTTCAACTCAGTATTTTTGTCATGCGAAATCGATGACGCACTTCACTTGCTTATTCCATAATTCGGCACATTGCATTTTAGGTTCTAAAATACCATACGTATAAAGACATAGATATTTAATTTTTTTTTCCCATGCGTTTTCTTATTATTGAGAATAAGCTTTACTGATTGATACAAAAATAGGCTATATGTACCTATATAGATTAAAAAAAATCGCATTATTGCTATAATGACTTTAGTGATCTAATTAAGATGTTCAATTTCAATAATTTCCAGAAAATTGTTTCTTTCTTCAACAGCATACTCCTTATTTACAATAGCAACAGAATTTTATCATTAATTAAATCTCAAACTAAATTTTAATCATTTGGAGATGTTATCTGCTTCACATTTTGCAATAAATAACACATTCTTTCACTGTGCTGATGTCTAGTAGTGTGCTGTGTTCCAAAAAATGTTTAAATCAAATAACTTGCTGTAACTTAATAAAGAACAGAAGCGCACTGTCAAAGAAGGAGACGATATTCAGGAAAAAAAATGAATAAAAAAGGCACTCATAATTGTAAAAAATATTTGGATGGATTGCTCAAATTGTACATTGCAGGCCCAATGCTTCACAACTTCGATGGTTTGATTAAAAAGTTGAAAAAATTTTTCTCGAAAATTCACCTATGGATTGAAGAACCCGTTGAAAGGATTTAATTTAATGAACATGACAAAATGTAAAACTGAACCCTAAATTTCACCAGTCCTGCAGATCAGACTATATGGAGGTCCATCTAAAAAGCCAAGAGAAGACCCAAATGAGTAAGAGAAAAAAATCTGTGAAGATAAGCCAAAATATTCCAAACAAATTTCAGGAAACTGAAATATCCACGCCATTTCCTCGACTATTTTTGCTGTGCTCCTGATGCTCTCTTTCCTCCAAATTTCACATCATATTAGAAATTTGAAAAGTTGAAAAACTATGAAGTGAAGAAAAATATACAATCCACTAAGTGGGATGATAAAATTGCACAGAGAGGCTGCTGTTAATTCAGACGTTCGTGACATTGTTTTATTGCGGACAGGTAATGGTTTTTGCTGATCGCTCTACGAGGATAGGATTCTGGCTTATGGGTGTTTTGGGCGTCGGAGTCACTTTACCTACACTGTAGACTAGGAAAGTAGAAGGATCAGGTCATAGTTTAAGCGGTTGTATCTGATCCATCCTTAAATTTGTTTAGTCATATACCTTCAGCCTATTTTGGTATGCATACTTCCCGCTGTTGGATTATTCAGATTGTTTGTATATCGCAGTTTTCTTTTTCACTTCATTCCGCAACTGAAGCAGAATCAAACAGAAATTGGATTGCTGGGTTATCTAAAATCGGCGAGAGAAATGGAAGTAACACGTTTTTCTGGTCATCGTATTGATTGAAATGACTATATGGGAAAGTATTTGGTAGTTATCATTTGTTATTTTGCTGTTCGATCAAGCATTTATGGAATATGCATTTAGGATGGGTGATGTAATGGAAGAACGTTTACGAACCTATATAAAAGAAGTGGAGAATCGAATGAAATGTCAACTTGATGATAGGAAAAAGTTAAAAGATGCTGTTCCGTTGTCTGAAGAGCAACTTCGAAAAATGGACAGTGCGCTGAAGCGAACGACAGCTTTTATGAAAAAATTAAAAAATATTGGATGCATACAACTGGCATCGATTTTACAAGATGTGGATAAAGTGGGTTGTTCAATTTTTCCTTGACTTGTGTACTAGCATCTATCTACCAGTTTACTTATGTTTCATCTGCGTACTTATTTGTCTGATGATATCGAATCAGTCAGCAATGACTAGTTTATGGAATGTTAAATAGTTGGATAACTTGTATCAGTTGATTTGCGGCGGTAGCAGTTGATTTGTTTGGAGTTTTTTTTCCTTTATTTTATAAATTACAAGAATTTTTGTGTAGGGGTTTTTTTAAAAACTTTTCCAGGTTAATTTGTCAAAGTTTGTGGAGGAAATGACTACGACAATTGCTGAAGCAAAAATAAAATATAGCGAGGTACAGTCCGTCGTAACAGTTTGTGTGCATTTATCTTGTTATTATTCAGAATTCTCTTCCCTTTTGTTTATGGAGTTCCGCAAACTGCTGCCATCAAAACGAAGTGACAGAATTCAAAATCCTTCCAAGTTGCGCGTCGATATCAGGTTTCATTTCCTTCAATCATAGGTGTAATTATTAATAAACTCAAGACTTAAAAGGTTGCTGTTCTCTCGGTGCTTGAACTTGTTGTCTACGTTTGTTGTTTCTTAAATTCTTTTGCTTCCTTATTAATGTAGTGTAAATAATGCATACCGACCAATTCACTATTTTTCCACTATGATAGGTTTGCATCTCTCTCATGATTCATGTTTTAGATTGCTGGCTGAACTCTGTCTTCACGGTGTTTTTGGAAAAGAAGGCGTGCAACTTTTGGGGTCTGCAGTTTCATTCCTTACTCTTACGGACAGAACTGAACATATCAATATTCCAATTTTATTGCCGTTCTGTAAAGTCATGAATGTTGATTTACTTGGTTTGCACCCTTATTCAATGAAACAGGTGTTCATTAATGCTACTCACTATATTGAAAAGATTAAATTATAGCGTATAAGTTGGGATTTCTTGTTCATCGCACAGTAGATATTGAAAAGAGATGTCTGTGCAAACAAATTATTCCATCAGCTTTGTCAGCTAAACCTATTGGAATAGAAGATAACAACATCTTCACTTTAAACATGAAGCTGCTATGATAAGTTGGTTATGCCCTGTCTACAGGCATTTTGTTTCAGCTAGTCTTATGAGGACTATTCTCTATTGGGCAGTTAATTATGGTAATATTAGCATTGCTTATAATTTTGAATTTGAATCTTGCTTAGTTACCACAGAATAATTGGAATTGGTTTTTTTTTACTGACTATATCTTTTTTAGGTTGCATCAGCTGCAAATATTAAGTTGCCGGAAACGTCAGTAATATCTGTTGATTATAAAAAAACATTTGCGCAGCTTCTTCTGGATTATCGTGTATCACTCGTGGAGCATATAAAACAGGTGAGCGAATTTGAGGAAACCGTTTAATCATTTGTTTATGAATTTTGCATTTACTGTTACCCAGCATTTATGTTTGATATTCTATTTACTGATCCATCTTTTGATACTGATAGATTTACGGTCGATACGGTTAATCAAATTTTTATCGAAATGAAGTGATGATCTTTCAAAACACTTAACTTTATCTCCACTGAGTTGTAAATACTTTGTTCCTTAACCACATTCAGTTGTGCAAGACATCGATGTTTTTTTCGTGATAGATGGATTTTGGTAAGATGCGTGTTAACCGGTGGTCTTTGTAGGATTTGTTTGAAATGAACCAGTTGCTGCTTTCGATAAAACGTCAGACGCGAACGCGGGGAGATGCTTCTGCTGAAGATCGAAATCATCTGGAAGAAATACGTGCACGATACGAGAAGATTTTAACGAGTGGAATTCAGCTTAGTGAATATCTAGGTGTTGAGATGGAAACGATGAAAGAAGAGCAGGTCATTTTAATCCTTATTTTTTAATACTTTTGGTTTTTTTGGCATATAATTTATAAACGTTTATTTGGTTTATAATTTATAAACAGTCAAAATGTGTATTTGAGGGTAGAAAAAATTATTCTATTCATTGGAGTGCTATCCACATGCAAAATTTGTATTAACTATGTATTTCATGATATTGTCATGCTTATCGTATAATAGATGTGAAATATAGAGCGAAGATGAAGAAGAGGAGGTTTCCGCACTAGCACTTAGCCGTGCATTACATGAAGGAACTATTACTGTATGGCCGGATGAAGACACTCGGCAGTTTTATGAAACAAGAATGGAGCTTCGACAGCTTGTCCCGGCAATTCTTTTCCAGGTGATTTAACGTATTTTGGCATGAACGATGGCTCTGGAAATTCTACTAAATCACTGAATGAATCAGTGCAGTTTGGGGGCATCGTATATATGTATATATGACTGAGCTGGATATTGATACTCGTACTTATTTTAGTACTGCTACTATGATTATTGTTATTTTTAGCGCTATTAAGATTTTTAATTGGTGAGGTACTTTTTTTTGGTTCTAATCAAAAGGTAATAGCTTTTGTGATGTTGAACTTATAGTTTTATATTTTGTTATATTTTTTTGGTAATTTTAGTTGTTTTTTTATTAAATTTAATTAGTATTAATTTGGGATCTAGTAGCGTTATACTAGGTTTATAAAATATTACATAGATTTTACTATATATGATACGGCTCAGGTAGAATTATATTTTTATTTGAATTTAGTTTAACAAAATTTTCTTTTTTTGGATTAAAAGATTTTTTCCAAAATTTTGGTTGATTTTTTAAATTATTTGATTTTTCTTTCTGCTACTTTTACTTTGAGTTATATGTGAAATTTTGGTAGTACATTATTATGTTAATATCTCAAATCAGTATTGGTTTTTTTTTTTTTTTTTTAACTTTTTATTATACGCTTTTAGGCGAGTTTAATATGTAATATTAATTTAGGTTGGCTTATTCTATTATGCATTTTAATTGTGTTTCTATAAATATATATTTATTTGTTTTCATATTTTTAAGAGTTTAATTTATGGGAGGTATGGTCTTGTTAGAGTTTGAGTAGGTGGTATTGTTATATAATTTTAATTGATATTTCTTTTAATGGTTATGTCTTAATTTGGGGACAAATAAGATATTGAGCAGATGTTATTACTTCTTGTTTTTTTGTTTTTTAGTTCCTACGGAACGTTTAAAAATCGTTACTTTTATCCTCACATTGCAGGAATATTCCTAGGAAGAAAATATTAGGTGCATAATGCTAATAATTTTTGAGAATCACGGTGCGTTTTAAAACTGTGTACTGTCATATTATGATTTTCTAGGAATCGGAACGACGAACTTTAGATCTAGTCGGTGGGAGGATTGAAGATGTTGATCTAAGTGGTTTGGATGCAATTGTTGAAGAAGCTGAAGATGAGGGTGATGATCATAGTGAAGGTTTGTTTTAAAATTTTTTTTCTTGTCGGAATGGGAATTATGATGTCCAGAAGCAGAAGTACGTTTGACGGTGAATGTAAATAAAAAATAGTGGTATATTCTCTTCTTCCATCTTGTATTTACACTCTTCATGTTTTATCGTAAAAATTTCTTATTAAATATTCCCTATTAAATATGGCAAATCTAGAGTAAGAGATATGTAACACATATAAGAAAGGTAAAATATACCAAATAATGCGAAAAATAAAAATTGTCAAATTTATGTCTTTTTGAACTCTCTGTTATCAAGGAATTCATTGTCAAGCCGCTTTATTAATTACATAACTATAATAGAAATAGCATGCCCCTATTTTTGCATACCCTTATGAGTTCTTCTAATGCATGTCGCAAATTTAAAACATAAGCAATTCATGTTGTGGTATAAAATGTTATAAAAGTGTCCGAAATTCTGTCATACCAAAGTACCAAATTTTCTTAAACTAATTATTATGCTTTAGTGTTAGCTGTGAAATCAAACGGATTTATTAGAAGATGGTAACACTAAGTTATTCTAATCTTTGTGATCTTCATAAAAGGAGTTCTGGTTATGAAGCGAGAGTAAATGGTAAACAAATGGTTATCATTTTTGTGAGGTCATGGAGTTAGGTCATGTTATTGTATTATCATTACTTATTATAGTGAAGATTTATTGCATTAGGTATCGATGATGAAGAAACAAAAGTGGATTTGAATGAAATGGATCCATCACTTCCAGTGAATCATATTGAAACGCCAAAAATATCTGGACAAGATTTAAAGCTTATGATGCTTGCATTTATGGAACAGCTTCCATGGCTAATCAATCGGGATTTAATCGACAAGGCTGCACTTGACTTCGTTACGAATCTGAACACCAAGAACAACAGGAAAAAACTCTGCCAAAGTAAAATATTGAATTTCTGTAGAAATTCTCGTTTTTTGTTGAGGACTACGATCACAGTGTTAACGTGAACAATATTATGCATGGGTTTAATTTATATTAAGTGGAATGTAATTCACTTGAATTCATTTATCACGTTCTTTTCTTAATTATTGTTCAGTGATGCTGGAACAATATCGAAATCGATTAGATTTACTTCCATTCTATGGTCGTCTGGTGGCAACACTGGAACCAGTTATGCCTGATTTGGCTCTTGAACTTTCTCATGCATTACTTCAACAGTTTCGGGCAGCTGTACAGAATAAGAAAAGACAACGTGTTGACTGGAAAATAAGATGTGCTCGATTCATTTCTGAACTGGTTTGTGTTTAATGTTATATTTCTTATATTTCGGCTCACAAGTGATCCTAATACCTTGAGGTTCAATGGACTTCTGCTAATTTGTGATTCGATGGATTTGTGCTTTGGAGTAACCTTTTAATTTCCTACATTTTTTTAAGGTGAAGTTCGGCATAATACCTAAAGGCGAAGGCCTTT